AAGAAAGGACTTGTGTCGCTAAAGTTTCGTCGGAACGAATTTACGGAAAATTAATAAACGAACGGAGACGTAACAATATAATGCCCCCTCAATGTAGCCCCCCCCAGTGGCACAGCGATGTGCCCGCGGATTTACAACGCTAGAAACCTGGTTTCGATACAATGGTGTGAAGAGCACATATAGCCCAATGTGTAGTTTTTTGCTTAACTACAAACAAAATAATTGATTGTTTCTTATATTCGTGTCAAGCAACACAACATCTATCTGGATTAGCCGTCGCTACTTTTAAACTGATATATTAGAGGGAAGACAGCTAGTTAACAACACCCACCTCCAACTCTTGGATTTCTCTAATCAAATAGTGAGTGGAATTTTACCGTCCCTCTTATAATGCACCCACGACCCCTTAAAGTGCAAAGTGTGTGTTTACGGCAATGTGACGTGACCCATGGACACTCGGATCCATAGTCCGACACGTAACCACAAAGCCACGCCGGGTCCTAAATCAAACAATATAATTCGAGCTTTTCTATCAACTTGATATTCTAGATACGTTAATCAAAACTCTCCTCTTACAGTTTGTTGTTAAGTCAACAGAAACGGAGTTAAAACAATTACAATGATTCATTTATATGTTGCCTGGCGGTGGTTCAACGGTAGGATTTAGAGGGCTTATATCACAAAAATTTGGGATTCAATCACTGCGGTAGGCACAGCGTAGATACCTCCTCTGTGTAGCTTTGCACTTAGCATACAGACAAACAATTACATGTCAGTTTCTCTTTACAAGTAAATCGACTTATGTCGGATTGATTTATATGTAGTTTTAACCCTCCAAACACAACTCTGAAAGTTTAGTTATCGCATACATTAGGATAAGGTATAGTGTAGTTGTATCAAAAGTTTTCTATAGGCAATGAGAAAAGCAGTGAGATTTTATCCAATAACTATATCTAAACCACCCATATACATCACACTGTGAGGCTGTGTGTTAAGTTAAATAATAATTGTTTGTTTGTAATTATGCACAAAGCTACACAAAGGGCTATCTGTGCTCTGCCCACCACGGGTATCGAAACCCGGTTTCTAGCGTTATAAGTCCGCAGACATACCGCTGTGCCACTGGTGGGGCTAAATAATAATAATAAAAACATTTTAAAGAAAAATTGCGTTTAAAAACGTATATTGGCTTTCACTGTACATTTCTATAACTATTTATTCTATCGCCTCTAAAGTTCAAACCATCCTTTTGATATCGATCCAAAAACCAAAATTCTATGGTGTAGTGAAAA